TACAGTTCCTCATGCTGTGACCCAACCATATAATTATTTGTGTTGCTACTTCATAGCTGTAATGTTGCTACTGTTGTGAATCGTAATGTAAATATATGATATGCAGGATGGTCTTAGGCGACCCCTGTGAAAGGGTCGTTCGACCGCCAAAGGGGTCGCGACCCACAGGTTGAGAACCGCTGCTCTAAAGACATCCTAACAGCTGCACCTAACCCTTTCTTCACGCCCCCGGGTGTGCAGTGAAGATCTGCTCTGTGCACAGGGAGGACAGTGGAGGACCCACCTGGCCACAAGCCGGGACGCCCAGATCATAATTTAATTTAACCTGAGGGTTAGAAAGTTCTCACGGACATTGATGGGTTAAAAAGGGAACAGTGGGTAAGCGGGTGGAGGAGCTCTTTAGAATTAAAGAGTTCTGCCAACTCTTTGGTTCCATCAGAGCCTCCAAAATTGGGAACCTGCTCTTCCCCTGAGCCATGCTGAGCCTCCAGTCTAGAGGAAATGTCTTCCTTTCTCCATAGCGGTGGCCCATGACTTCCATCAAAATCACAAATCCCTTCTGTTTTTTCTGTTTTTTAACATTTTTTTTATTGATTTCAGAGAGGCAGAGAGAGAGAGAAACATCAATGAGAGAATCATCAATCGGCTGCCTCCTGCACACCCCGCACTGGGGATCGAGCCCACAACCCAGGCATGTGCCCTGACCTGGAATCGAAGTGTGACCTCCTGGTACATAGGTCAATGTTCAACCACTGGGCCATGCCGGCTGGGCGAAAATCTCTTCTCTTCAATTGTCCTCTGATTCAGACCCAAGTGTCTATTATATCTAAGCTGTTCCTCTATCCCAAGCACTTGCCCTCCCCAAGGGTGATCATCGCTAACACATACTGAGAGTTTCCTGTGTGCTGGGCACTGTCCCAATTATCCATGGCTCCTCATAATCATCTGAGTTGGTTTATTTTATTGTCCCCGTTAAGAGATGAGAAAACTGAGGCTCAGAGAGGTTAAGTGACTTACTCAAGATCACACAGCTGATATAAGGTAGAGCCAAGACTTAAACTCAGGCATTGTCTGGCCCCAGAACTCAGGAGTTTAACCACCAGGTTAATTTGCCTCCTGGTTGCCTCAGTCACTAGTTCACTCCCATGCTGCCCCACTCCACCCAAGCACCTACTGATAACCAGAGCTCCTTGGCCCTCATGGAGCTCCTGACAATCTCATAGGGGACCAGAGGCTCTGATGAACATATTTGTGTATGAAGCTTTTTCCATAATTTGGTTTATTCTTTTATAGTATACTAGAGGCCTGGTGCACAAAAATTCATGCACTGGGGTGGGGGGGGTTCCCTCAGCCCGGCCTGCCCCCTCTCACAGTCCGGGAGCCCTCAGGGGATGTCCTACCTCTGCAGGAAGCAACCGGGTCGATCAGGGGAAGGCGCTGCCCCCACCACCCCGCTGCTGCTGCCTCTGCCAGCCGCCTGCTCTCGGCCCTCGCAGCCGCCGCGGCTTTGTCCGGAAGGACATCCAGAAGACGTCCGGTCTATCCGGTCTAATTAGTATATTACCCTTTTATTAGTATAGCTTGCCCATCACTCTCCGTCTCTTGAAATAATGATCCTAAGAATAACTACCCTGATTACACATTTTGAACAAACTCTGTGTAATTATCACCCCCATTTTACAGATGAGGAAACTGAGGCTCAGATCCATGTTCTGATGCCTCCTAGAGTGCTGACATGAAACCCTCCTCCATGAGACATAGACCTGGTGCTTCATGCCCACTTCTCCCCAACCCCCAACTTCCACCCTCAGCCCCTGACCTGCTCCTGCTTCCCTGGTGGGTCTGTAGCTCAGGATTTCTTTGAGCACTTATATGAGCCAAGTATCTCACTGAATCCTTATAATACTGTGGGACCGATACTGTATCCCTAATTTGCAATCAAAACTTATGCAGGAAGTCCCTTTGCCGGGGTCACACAGTTAGTCCACGGGGGAGTTGGGATTGGAACCCAGGCATTCTGACTCTTATGGCAGAGCAATGGTGGTACCTTGAAGACAAAGGCCCATCCAACTAGGGATGGAACACTTACCTTGCTCTCCAGCCCAGCCCCAGGTTCTGTGAATTCACTCTCCTGGCAGGGGTGGGAGAGGAGAAAGGGAGAGCCAGGGGGCTCAGGCCTCACTGGCTTCCCTCTGTTGCAGATGTGGAGGAAAACCCCGCTGTGCCCTCCGGCCATGCCACATCCCCGGGCGGGGAGAAGTACGCTGCTTCTGAGGGTATGTGGACCATCACCCGGCTCTCCCCTTAATGAAGATAGTGATCGTGGTTGATCCTCAGGCTAAGAGAGTGTCTTAGCCCAACACAGTCCTCAGTGGCTCATTTATTCCTCAAAGCAACCCTGTGAGAGATAAATAGGAATATCCCCAACTTAAAGGCTAGGAAACTGAGACTGAGGGAAGTAAAGTGACTTGCCCAAGGTCACACAGCAAGTCCGTGATGAAGCCAGGCCTGGAATCCGGCCTTCCAGTTTCTAGCTGACCGTTCCATCACCGCACTCTGCCTAGATTCCTCTGGCAATGTGCCAGGGAAGGAAAATCAATGTCCCCATCCGGGGACAAGAGGGTTTAATATGAGGCTGTCACTGCCCTAACAGGGAACCTTCCAGAAGATGCCAGGGGCTACCAGCCAAGGACACTTGGAGGCCTGTTTCTTACACGTGGGCCGATATATTTCACTCCTCCCCATACCAACTGGGTCATAAACAGAAACAGCCTAACGTTCCCCTAGATCCCTAGTGACCAGGCAAGCCCCTGCCCCTCTCTGGGCCTCCGTTTCCCCAGCTGGGCAGTGAGCGGTTGGACAGGGTCCTCTGTCAGGCAACAACTGTCACTGTGTGGCTCTCCAGGTCCCCAGCACGACCTGGCCACCAACACCCCTTCTTCCTTGAAGACCTCTGAGACCCTGTTTGGAACCAGGTACGTGGGCTTTCCCTTGGGGGACACTCTACCACCACCCGTCTCCCAGGGGCTGTCCCTGGCTTGGAAGGCCACAGGCAGGCCCAGCCTGACATTCAGACAAAAATGAACAATCCAAACCGTGCCAAGAAGGCCCCATCCAGAGGTATCACTGCCCTCCAGGTATCCCACTGCAGAAATCCCACCTTGGTGGTTCATCTCCCACAGTGTGGTCTCTTTGCAAACGCGACCCCCTGGGAGGGCCAGCCTGAGACACGCTGACTGCTGGGCTAAAAGAGCATCCTAAAAAAGAATAGCCTGGTCCCCGTCCAGGTTGCTACTAACTCACTGAGGGCCTCAGGGAAAATGCACACCCCCCCAGGCCTCAGTTTCCCCAGCTGTCAAATGAGGAGATTGGAGGAAGCCACCTATCCGATCCCTTCTGTCCTGACTCTCAGAGGCTGCTGAGTGAGCACCGGGGGGTGGGATGACCAGGGACACCACCGGGGTGGCTGTGGCCGCTCTTCCCTGCTCCACCCACACAGGCTGACTCTCAAAAAGTCCAGGCTGCTGACGCAAGCAGCCAGGGGCTTCCTGGGCAAGCCGCTGACCAAGACTCCAGAGCCAACGCCGGGGAGCCAGAGCTTCGACTACGTCCCACTGGTGAGTGCCCCAGACGCCGGCTGCTCCACAGAGGGGCCTTCCCAGGAGCCCCTTTCCAGCCCCGCCCCTCACAAGGGAAGAAAACCTAGGCCTCGCACCCACGTAGTCAGCAGGGCAGAGGGGTCTGCACGAGACCCCCCCCCCCCCCCCCAGGGTCTAGGAATGTTGCTAAAAGCTAGCGGCAGCAGCATCTTGGCAATCGGCTGCCTTTTTAAAAATTCACGGGAATTTCACATTCTACCCCACCACCTACATGTGTCTGATTTTCAATGCATAACAATAAGCCTTGAAATGACGCTCAGGTGAGTAAAATTCACGCCCCACGGGCATGCACTGTTTGGGAAGCGGCTCTGCAGACGCCCCGGCACGCTGTGGCAGCGTGGGAAGCCCAGGTGTGGCGTGGACATCTCTGAATTGAGGAGCCAGGGGGCGTGGCCTCCACCTCCGGGCCAGGGGGCGTGGGGAGCAGAGGTGCCGGCAGGAGGGACATGGTTGGAGTTTCACTGCGCAGCTCCAGTCCCTGCACACCGACACGGAGCCTTTCCAGCCATCGGGGCAGCAGAGCGCTGTGCGGGGGTTCACTCAACAAGGACCCGTTGAGCCAGGCCCAGTGCCAGGCCCTGGGAGACAACCTTGAACCAGATGAGCAGAGTCCCTGAGCTCATGGTGCTGTAGTGGGGACACAGACAAGGAGCCAGGCAATTCTGCTCCTTGGCCGCTGTGATAGGAAAGTTCAGGTTGGTGGGGCAGAGCTAGGCGGGTGGGGCACCTTCTCCAGGCTGTCGGTCAGTCGGTCAGTTGGTTTGTTGGTCGGGGAGGAATGACACATGGCTTACTGAGGAGCATAAAGGTCAGGAAGGCCGAGGAGTGATAGCTGGCAGCCTAGAGAGGAGAGGGAGAGAGCGGCGGCTGGAGAATGGGGCTTGAGGAGAAAAAGTTGAGGACGAACCAGCGATTTGGAAATCATGGTTGGGACTTATTCCAAGAGAAAACTGACACCACTGAACTGACGTCAGAGAGTGACATGACCTGTGTCTTACAAAGGCCCCTTGGGGTGCTGGGAAGATGAGGGGGTGGGGGCGACGGAAGGAAGTAGAGGCAGGGACCATGCGGGGAGGCGGATGGTGGACTCCAGAGATGTTTAGAAAGCAGACCTGTGGGCACTCGGAAACTGATTGGCTCGGAGGGTGGGAGAGGGCGGTGAGCTGCCCAGAGCCGACTTGACGGCCGAGGACAGTCTCAGCGGCGGGGATGGGCCCACCTGCCCAGAACAAGAGGCAGGTTAGGAGTGAAGGCGTTGCGTTGGGCTTGGAGAGTGATCAGTTTGGAGTGCCTGTGGGATAAAGGAGGGAGCTGCTCAGTGGGCCTGGGTGCCCCGCAGACCCCCCAGGAAGATGAATGGTGGGCTGTGTGGACCCAGACTTTTGCATGGCCTGGGGCTCCACCGCCTACAAAGTTGGAGGCCCACTGAGGGGCTCCCGCACCCACAGGTGTCTCTGCAGCTGGCCTCCGGAGCCTTCCTGATGAACCAGGCCTTCTGCGAGGCCATTCACATCCCTATGGACAAGCTCAAGTGGACCTCGCCCTTCACCTGCCACCGAGTGTCCCTCACAGCCCGCCAGCCCGCGTCTAAGACCAGCCCCTCGTCTCGGCACCCCTCTTGTGACACCTCCTCCGAGGAGCCTCTGGCAGGGGACAAGGCGAGCTGGGAGCTCAGCGCGGTGACAGAACACACAGGGAAGCTGTGGGCCACGGTGGTGGCCCTGGCGTGGCTGGAGCACAGCTCGGCGTCCTACTTTGTTGAGTGGGAGCTGGTGGCCGCCAAGGCCAGCGCGTGGCTGGAGCAGCAGGAGGTGCCGGAGGGCCGCACGCGGGGCACGCTCAAGGCCGCCGCCCTGCAGCTGTTCGTGCTCCTGCGGCACTGGGACGAGAGCCTGGAGTTCAATATGCTCTGCTATAACCCGAATTATGTGTAGGGGGGTTGGGGCAGGGGAGGCGGGCGGGGACCTGGGGGCCTGCGGGGGGAGCTTTGGACGCTGTAATATATTGGTTGCTAGAAAGAGCCCTGGACTAGCCGTCAGGAGGCCTGAATTCCATCCCAACTTTGCTACCACCTAGCTGTGCAACGAAAGGCCAGACCGTGCCCCCTGTCTGGGCCTCAGTTTCCCCCCTTCTCCCCCCCCTCCCCGACCCCCGTAAGATCAGTGGGTGAGGTGAGGTTGGACTAGTGATCTAGAAGGGTCAAAGGTTCCTTTCTGCCTGGACTGTGGGCTGCTGTGGGGGTGACAGCCACCGGGGGTGGAGAGGGAGCACAACTTAAACCTGGGATCCCCCAAGAGGAGGAGCACGTGGTCAGTGTCCCCTCAAATAAAAGGGTGAACGAGCAAACCCCAAAACTGCAAGTCACCAGATTTACAAGCTTGTAGCCAGGCCGGAGAGACCACCTCGGCCTGCTGCATGGTGGGCTAGGCACTCGTCTCCATGGTGACAGCCCAGGACCCCTAAGTCACGCTTACAAACCCACGGACAACCATCCTCCCAACACTGGGTAGAAGGGTCACCGGGGCCTTTTCCTCCGGCCTGGAAGCCCTTCGTGTATTTAGTGTGGATGTGTGAGTTCCTGGCTAAGAAGAGCAGGCGAGCAGGACAGGGGGAGACACCCTGGAAGCGGGGTGTTAGAATTGAGCGGCTGTCCGTGCAAACACAGTCCCAAAAGAATAGATGGAGCCACAGAAGTCAGTGGAGAGACCAGACAGCAGCTTAAGTAATTTACACACTTTCGGGAAGGACGTAATGCAAACTCTACCCACTCGGGCTGAGGGGCAGAGAGGCACCCTGTGTCAGCTGCATTCTGGAATGGGGGGCGCCGTCCAGCCGTGTCACACTGTGGGGGACGGGGCCTTCTTTGCAACAGGGAACCGTGCTTGGCTGCAGTGCATTTGGGGCAGCAGCTCCAGTCAGGAGACGTGATCTATTCAATGACATGGAAGACTCTTGAGGCTTCAAGGCAGAGAGGCCCTGGGGACTTGCTCTCAGGCCCACCTGGTGGTGCCCTGTGGTGACATCCGCGTTGCAGCCTCAGATTCCCTCCTGGCTGCTGCCCAGCGATCTCTGCCCCACAGACCCGCCTGGAGGCAGGTCTGGACCTCACCAAGGAAGCCCACCAGCTTGGGCCCCGGGCTGAATCCGCACACCCCTCCCCAAGGCCTTAATCTTGCCTCATCGAATGGCCCCGTCAGGCCCCATGGCCCTGGCACAAGCTTCCCGCTTCCGGAGATCCGGAGGGCCCCACGCAGACCTGTGGAGCACGTGGACTCTGGCGCAGTCTCAGCCTCGGGAAGACTCAGAAATGCCCCATCTTCAGCAGGAGCTGAGGGAGCCGAGGGGTCCAGCCCAACACCCACCAGGCTGGAGGAAAGGCAGCCCCAACAGGAAGTGGTACCACACACAGGGCCCCACCCCCTCCAGGAAGAGCCCTCCCTGACCACCTGCTGAGCTGCAAAATCTTCCAGGTGCCTCTCTGCACCAGCCCCTCGAGGCCCTCACATAAAGCTGGATCCATCCCCAAGGGAGGGGACGGGGCTGGAGACTTCATATAAATCCCGCCAGCTGCTTGGCTCCCTGCTCTGTTCTCACCCTCTGGGCAGTCACTAACCCAGTGGCTCCCACCACCGCAGGCGGACACGAGGCCAGAAGGGGATGTTGGCTCAATGTCAGCACCCCCAGAGGGATAAGGGCTGTAGGCTGTCTTGCTCAAGGCCTTGAGCAGGTGTGAGGACAGCATTGTCATCTCCCTCCCCACCTCCTCCCCCCCACACCCACCACCACCACCAAAATAACACTCTGCAGCTGTGCAGCAGCAGCTCCAGCCCCAGAGTAAGGAGGGAGGGGCGTGGCAGCGGTTAATGGGAAGATTGTCAGGCGGATGGTTCACACACCTGGCACTAGTTCGGGCAAGTGGCACCTCCTCTTTGGGTGTCCTGGAGCTGGGGCTTCCCCCTACTCTGACTTTCCCCAATTCCCAGCCTCAGCTCTTTTCCTCTTCGTGACCATGGACTTGCTCTAATTGCCTGGGTGACCTTGAACAAGTCACATCTGCTTTCTGGGCCTCTTTCCCCCTCTAACACGACCAGGTTGGGCCGTACTGTCCAGCCTCCCAGTTAACCTGATCCTGGTGTCCCGGCTCAGTGTGGACAATGACTGGGGGCTCGGGATGGCCCGGCACCTGCCCGGTGTGGAATGAGACACCTGGAAGGGGTAACCGAGAAACCCCGAGAGGCCAAGGGCGCACCACCCCCCTTCACAGGGAGCATCCCCAGACCCTGCCCCGGCAGCAGTGGCTGGAGGGCTGGACAACTCTGATGCACAAGCAAGTTGCTGACCTCCGCACTCCCTGGCTCTCCCGCCCAGCACCCAAAGGTGCAGAGGAACACCCCTGGCGACGGGCCGCCCTGTGCCCCTGCCTGGAACCTGTGGGACACTCCAGCACCCGCCACTGCCGAGCCCAAATGCCGCCTCCCACCACAGCATATTGGACCGTCTCCGAGTGGCCCCCAGACCCAAATGCATCCCACAACCTGAGCGCCCTGGGAAGGGAAGAGAAGGGCAGTGCTACCCGGGGAATGGGCTGTGTGTTCATTGCCATGGCATCTGGGAGATCTTGTTCCCCACTTCTCTAGCAGGGCCTAGAGAAATCAACAAAAAAAGAATGGGCGCGTTCCAGGGCTGCAGCACGCTCCGCGGCGCCCGTGTGAAAACCAGAGGGGCAGGGGCGTGGGTTTGCAGCTGGGTTATCTGCTCGGCAGAGGCCTCCCCTGAGGTCAGGAGCTCAGCAGCGTCTCCTGGCCAGGCCTCAGCCCCTACTATGGGGCTCCCTGAACCCCGCACTCGGCTGGCCCCAGCCTGGTGACCTGAGCCTCGGAGCAGCGCCATCTCCCGGGTCACCTGACGAAGCCGGCTTTCCCCTGTTCATGCTGCAAACCTCCTCGGCTGGAACCGGCCGTTCGTGAGCTTCTCGCCGCTTCCCAAGGCAAAGCGCCTCGTCTCCATGTGGTCGCCTGTGGTGACACACGCAGTGCAGTTTCTCTATTTGCCCAGGTGGCTTTGGCTCAAGTGGCATGGCCGGTGCTTGTCCCCCTCGGAGCCTCAAGTGCCTACAATGTGCTGCCCCACCCCCTTGCCTGCTCCCCCGTAATGTCCCCCTGGAGCCTGTGACACTTGGTCTTGGAATACACCTCGCCTTTCTGCCCGGTAGCCAGTTAGGTGGGCATCGTGGAAGGCCTGGACATCAGCCAGCTCATGTCTACCGATAACTGGCAAATCCCATCCCGGGCCGCGTGAGTGTGCGTTCTCAGAGGAATGGCTTATTTGTAAGTGGTGGCTACTGTTCTCGTATAGGCTTTCAGCTCATAAAAACCGTTGAACGTGATGATGTGACAAAATTACACGTGTGTCTGCTCTTCTGTTCTCAGAGCTCAGACTTGACTTTAGACAGGGGTCCAGCCATCTGCTCGCCCATGGGGTCACACCTGACTTGGTTTGGATTTCCCCAGGGACTGAGGTAGGGAGGTCCCAGGATGTGGGACTTTCCAGTTCTAAAACTGGGGCTATCCGGGGGAAATCAGGACAAGTTGGTCACAGTGGTTCCCCCAGAAGCAGAGCCTGTGATAAGGATTCGGTGCAGATGGTGTGTTGTGTGACCCCAGGAAACAGTCCAAGGCAAGTGAAGCCGTGGAACAGCGACAGGAGCGACACCGATAAAGGGCGTGTCACTAGCAGGTCATCCCATGGGTGTGCACCTCCATCCCTGGGGAACTCCCTGGGAAGGAATGGGGGTGGGGACTACCCATTCCACTCAGTCACTGGGTGAGGGTCACCCAGGCCATTCATTCCAGGGCGCTCTGGCTGCCACCGGCGGCGCAGCAGCCGAGCTGGCCACTGCGGTTAGAGAAAGCCCCGGGCAGAGACGCACAGGTCCTGGCCGGTGGCCAGCCCACCCGCAGAGGGGAGATAAGCTGAGGGGGCTGCAGGGCCCTGGCAGCACGTGCTCCAGTGTCTTGGCGGAGCTGCTTCCCACAGTTGGGATGTTTCTCAGAAGCAATTAGTGATCACAAAGTATGCTTCTGTGCAAATCATCCCCAGGCACCAGTTTGCCTCCCACACACGCTGATCTCAAAATCAAACACAAGGCTCATCTGGAAATCCTTCGGCAGCTCACCTTGTTTCCTCAAAATCAATCCTCACTTTGCAGCCTTCAGGGAGAACAATGAGGGAGATAGGAATTCCCCACAGGCCCAAAACATTGCCTCGATGTGCTACCAGCCCCGAGAAGAATCATTCGGGGAGCCAGGAGGCTGAGGCTAAAAGGTCACAGTGAGATACTGTGCGCAGGCATGGCCCTCGTGGGTGATCTTCGCTGCTCGATGGCTTTCACTGAGATGGACAAGTCCTTTCTCTGACCCCCGCCCCGCCCCCCAGCTCTGGGCTGCTGGAGGACCTGAAGTCCTTTCAACACCTCACTGACGTACAGGAGCTGGTACGACCTCCACTTTTGCAAGACACTCGCTTCTTTTTCTCTTCTCCCATTGTACACGCCGTGTGTGCATGTGTGTGTGTGTGTGTGTGTGTGTGTGTGTGTGTCCTGCTGGGATGGCAATAAGGGTCTCCTAGACCTTCACACCATGCAAAACATACTCAGAAAAGCAGGGACTCCGCACTGGAAATTCTAGAAGGAGCGAATGAAGTGACCCCGGTGGTTTGGGCCTCTGGGTCTCCTGCACCTCTGTCCTATGGTGGTCAGTCCGCTCCAGTCACGGCTGGCCCCCGGGGAAGCCTGGCTCCCTTGGCTCAAGTAATCTTTGCCCTGGTCTGAAATGGGGGCTGGGTCCAGCCTCGCGCTGCGGCTCTCTGGGTCTGCCACCCAGCAGCAGTTGTCCTCGTCCCCGTCCCCACCTGAGCATCACCTAGAACAGTGATG